GCTATTTGAATTAAATATATATGATCAATCAAAACATATAGTAATTAATTTTACTAAATTAACGTCGAAAACATGTCCAGGCATCATCTATAGCCTAAATAATCTAATGCATGACTTTCAAATATATGGTATCACAAATTATGGAATTATTTAATCATTAAAACTTTTGTTGATTACGTAAGCCATAACTTAGTCTGGTAAACCACAAAATTTAACCGTCAGAACTCGTCCTTGTTAGCTCAGTTGGTAGAGCGTTCGGCTTTTACAGTCAAACTAGGGAAAAACCATTTCTTAGCGGAAGTTAACCGAAATGTCGGGGGTTCGAGCCCCCCATGAGGAGTTCTATTTTTTTTGCCAATTTTTTTTTACCAATTTTGGGTTAAAAGGACTGAAATTGATCATATATACACTCTATGTTAGTTACTTGTTGCTCTGTTGTTGATATTCCGGCAAAAAAAGTTATGTTTTGGAGTATCCTACATTTTTTTTTTCATTTTTTTTATATGTCATACCCCATTTAAATATATACAGAGAAAATAAATCATTATGAACAGAATCAAACAAAATGTTTAACCTTCTTAGCTTTCTTTGCAAGACGGTTTTCAATTTTTTTCTAAAAAAGTTGTTAGTAAGATTATCAAAAAATTTCAAATCAAAATTTATACGTACTTTACCTCTAAGTTCAGCAATTTTTTCATCAGCATGTAATAAAGCTTCTTTCATCTTTGCTTCCTTGAGTGGTCTTTCTCTTTCATATTTGGCACCCTTAGGTCTCAACACACCCTTCATCAATGGTTTTGTATCATATTTCTCTTGGTAGAATTTCTTACCATTGGCTAATGGAGGTAAAGAATCTTGAATACCATGTCTGTATGCGATTTTCCATAGATCACTTTGTCTTCTCATGGAGTATTTGGCAGTGTGGTATCTTTTTGTGATTGGGTGTTTGTTGGCGATGAATGGGTTAGCATTTTCAGCTGTTGTTAATGTTGATTCAGATGCATATTCTTTGAATGGTCTTGGTGGGTAACGGGTGAAGAATCTTTGTAGTTTTTCTGGAAGTGTGTTGAAGTACGATATCTCTGTCTTCACAGCAGTGTTGAATAGGCCCAGTGACACTCTCATCTTGTCTGTTTTGTATGGCAATTGTGTAGATTTAATACTCGTCTTCGCATCCAAAAGCATTTTTTTTTTCAACAAAAAAAGTTCGAGATTTTTTTGGGCGGTGCAACACCACGCTGATTATGACTGATACTGAGTCGAAGTTTATAAAGATTGAAGTTTCCCAATCTCCAGAGATCTTGTATTAGTGTAAGATAGAAAGTGATCCAACAATGCTACGTGCCACTAGATTAAGATCTTTCCAAAGATCATTCTCCACCTCTAGATATCTACAAGCCAGTTTGGTAAGTTGTGATTGTGCTATCTCTTTTTAAGTTTTTATCTAACATAGTTCCCAATAGAAAAACCCAGATCCAGCTTCTGATAGTAAATCTGGTAAATTCATTCAAGAAAACTCAAAATATTCAGTCACAACTTATTCACGTCCAAATGTTGTCTTTGAAAAGGGTGAAAAGGCCTTTTTATGGGATGTTGAAGGTCGTAAATATGTTGATTTCACAGCTGGTATTGCAGTCACCGCTTTAGGACATTCTCATCCAGAAATCTCCAAAATCTTGTATGACCAATCTACCAAATTGATCCATAGTTCCAATTTGTATCATAACTTATGGACTAACAGATTATCCCGTGAATTAGTTGAAACTACAAGGGAAAGTGGTGGTATGCATGATGCTTCAAGAGTGTTTTTAGCAAATTCTGGTACTGAAGCCAATGAAGCTGCTTTAAAATTTGCAAGAAAATATGGTAAAACAATTGATGAATCTAAAACAGAGTTCATCACTTTTACAAATTCATTCCATGGTCGTTCAATGGGTGCCTTATCAGTCACTCCAAATCCTAAATATCAATCACCTTTTGCTCCATTAATACCTGGTGTTCATGTTGCGGAACCAACTTTAGAATCTATTTCAAAACTAATCAACGATAAAACTGCAGGTGTTATAATTGAACCAATCCAAGGTGAAGGTGGTGTTCGTCCAGTTCCAACTGAATTTTTAATTGAATTGAAAAAATTGACCAAAAAACATAATGCTTTGTTAATCTTCGATGAGATTCAATGTGGGTTAGGAAGATCTGGTAGATTATGGGCTCATGGTAAGTTACCAAAAGAAGCACACCCAGATATTGTCACAATGGCTAAAGCCTTAGGTAATGGGTTCCCAATTGGTGCCACTATGATTACTGAGAATGTTGAAAAAGCTTTGAAAGTTGGTGATCATGGTACTACTTATGGTGGTAACCCATTAGGTGCAAGAGTTGGTAGTTATGTTTTAAGTCAAGTTTCTGATAAGGGTTTTTTACAAAATGTTTCCACAAAATCTGAACTTTTCAGAAAAGAATTGAATTCTTTAAAAGAAGAAGTTGATGAAATTGTTGAAGTTAGAGGTGAGGGTTTATTATTGGGTGTTCAATTCAAAAGTGATCCAAGTAAAATTGTTGATGCTGCAAGAGAACGTGGTTTATTAGTTATTACTGCTGGTGGTAACACTGTTAGATTCGTTCCTGCATTAAACATCGAAGAAGATGTTATAAAGGAAGGTTTGGCTATTTTCAAAGATGCTGTTAAGGCTGTTTTCCCATGAGATGTCATATATTTAATAGAATAAACCATATACAATAAGAATAAAAGAAATATAGATATTATTATAATGAAGTAATTAATGACATATGCAATGTAGGATATTTTCAAGTAATGATGAAATTTGAAAAGAATAAATCACTTGATTCAATTCTACCGGTGAAATAGAATCCCATAATGACAATGATATAAATCAAGATCAAGATACTTCCCTTAAAATAGTTAGACTTTCCTTCAGCATAAATATATGTGAACAACACAACTGAGATCAAAGAAGCAACAAGATCCCATCTTGGGAAAATCAAAGTGAACATTGATTCTTTAACATTAACCAACGAATCTTGATCAGAGATGAAGAAAATAGAATATAAAACCAATGATGGAATTTGAATCAAACAAACTTGTAAGGCATAAGCTGATCCAATTTCCATAGACAATGCAACATTACCATGTGTAGCAAATGAAATGGCATTTAAAAATTCAGTAGTATTTGGAACTAGTGCAAAAATTGTTATACCCAAAAATTTTGGATTAATTGGGAAATTTTTCAAAACTGAATCAACACAATCAACTAAAATTTCTGCAATGATTGCATACAACAATGTAGCACCTAATAAAACAAATGTAGATTTTTGTCTTGACCAGTTTGGTGCATCATGTCCATTTGATTCAATAACTTGAGATTGTTGGACCTCAGCAATATTTTCCACCGATGGTGACTGAATTGATTGTTGCTGTTGCTGTTGTTGTTGTTTTGCTTGTTTTTCTGTGATTGGTGTTTGCCATATTAATGCTGCATGAGTTCTCAACGTAAACCATAATCCAATTGTGTAAGCCAGAAACAATAACAAGGCACAAGCAATTGAAAATGGTCTCAATACATCACGAAATAATGAATCAACTTTCAGTGGAGGTTGGAAAAAATGACATTTTTGACAAGTTTTAGTCGGTGGTAACGATAATTGCATTGTGGAAGGAGGACATGGAATACACTTGATTTCATAAGATCCATAAATCTCATGGAAGATGGTTGGGGCAAACATTGCACTAATAGAAAACAACAACATTGTTGATGAAACACCTGCACTTGCTGGATTATATCTTTGAGTCTTTCTGATCAAAGCACCTGAACACATTGACAACCCTGGTAGTAATAAAACAGCACCCAAGATTGAACCAATCATTGAACCTTCCACTAAAGAACCTTTATGTTGATTTAATGCAACACAATATAGGAAAATTTCCACAATGGTTGAAAAGAATGCATTAATAACAGCACCAACACCCATTGAAGATTGAGCACTGATAGAAGCAACAGCTTGTCCAATGAAATAAGCTAGTGGGATGATTGATAAAAGACATAATGCAAATATGACTGATTCATTTGTTATTAGAACATCAATACCCATAAAATCTTTCAAAACGAAAAAATCCAAAATTGTGAAAATAACAACAGCCATTAAATTAATAAAGAACACATTTGTACCCTCCACAGTATATTTATAATAATGGAAACCTGTTGATCTATAGGTACATAACAAAATGTTTGAATTTTTATAAAATTTATCAGATGGTAAAGGTTTTGAAGAATCAAATTTGAAAAAAATTGCCAATGGATGTCTTCTCAAATGATCAGTCAATGTAGAAATGATCTTGGCCATTGGAATAGTGAATACAACTAGCCAACATAATGCCCATATTAAAAGGAAAATTGGTTGTAAAACAAAATAGAAATATAAATAAAACAAAATTCTCCCCAAACTCCAATCACCTCTTCCAAATAATCTTTTCTTCTTGTTATCATTATCTTCATCAATATTTTCCTCTATGGAAGGTAGTGGTACCAAATTTCTTTGTTGTGATTGCTGAGATAATTGCTGTTGAGGTTGAGGTCTTTGAGGTGGAACGTTACTATTATTATTATTAGGATTTGATGAAGTATTTCCAACGGTTGGTAAGTTAACATGGCTTGAAGTGAAGAATAACTTGTTGTGTTCTTCATTTCTCCAACGCTCATATTCAACAAATGTTGTACCTTCATTCAGATCTTCACTTAGGTAATTTTCATCTTTTTTCAAGTAAATAACTTTCCCAAATGGCCACAAGAGATAAATACCTAAATTGAAAAATACTTTTGCATAATTAACAGAACTATAACCAGTAATCACCAAAAAAACTGATCCAATAAGACATAAAATGAATAATAAGAGACCAAAAGTTAATGTCCATATAATATTGGTAAAATGAACTTCCCAAGAAACTTTCTTTTTTTTCAAGTCATCGGTTTCATGAATATCTTGATCAGCTTCCCTTTGAACGGATCTATTTTTTTTATATAAAGCTGGTTTCCAGATTCTAATACCAAAAGGATGTGTCGAGTTAATTGCATCTTGACGGTTTCTTAATGTAAAATCTTCTTCCGAGGATGTTGTTGAACGTACATCATCTTCATCTTCATCGCCTTCTTCATTTTCTGCTTCATCATCTTCACCATTGTTATCTTCTTCATGTAAATCGTCTGTTCTTTCAGACTGTTGTTGTTCATTCCCAGTAAATTGTGGCTGCTGCTGTTGTGGCGTTGGAGTGCGTTGAAGTTGATTAATTGATGGTTGATGTGACCTTTGAGGTTGTAAATAATCATCTTGTGGTTGGTTTGGATCTTTGTGATCTTTAAATTCACCTTGTTCATGGTTATAATGGATAATATCAGCTTCTTTTTGTTCCAATTTCTTGATGTTTGATTCAGCATTAATCAAATTATTCATTACATCATGGGTTAGATTTTGAACTTCTTGGTTTCTTGAAGTTTCTTTAAGATTTTTAGCTGATTTCCTATAGCGATGTCTAAGAGCATCATTATAGCCTTCCAAATATTCTCTCTCTATATCTTGTTCAATTTCATCTAAATCATCGTCAACACTATAAACATATTTTGGGGATGGGACTTGGAATGTGAAAGATGGGTTTTTTTGTATTTGTGGTTTCTTCTTCCGCTTTGGATTAGCCTTTAGTGTATTATTTTGGGAAGATGCGTTTGAGCGGCTATCGAATTGAGAGGTATAAGCTAAAGGATTTGGAGATTGTTGTTGTTGTTGTTGTTGTTGTTGTTGTTGTTGTACATTCTGTTGACTAGATTTCGGTAAGAGTTGATGGGGTTGGGCTTTATGCTGTTGGTTAGCTTGTGGCTGCTGTGACGATGGATCTCCCTGAGCTGGCCTGTCCTTGTCCTTCCCAGAGCTCATCTTTGAGAGTATTGTACTTTATTCTGCTTGTTGTTGTTGTTGTTGATGAAGGATCTGATTTCAAATTCCTTTACACATGTCTAAGTACAACCGAGGCTGACTAAGAAAACGTTGATTATTAGGTAAACAACATGATTACTAACATTTGATAGTAATATTACATAAACATATTACATAATCCGATTACATAAGTTTTTTTTTCGCCTTGTCAAAAATCCCTTCGCCATTTTTTTCTCAGTTATTTTTAAAAAAATCGAGTTTGAGCAAAAGAGAAGAAAAGAAGGTAATTTCACGTATAAAGGACTAGAACAATCTCAAACAAGGGAACAATCCAAACGGTACTAAACCCACTTATTATAATTTGAAAGCACTGTCCATTCGTTACTTTGTGCACTCCGTTTCACCAGAAAAAGTATCTTGATTTGTCTAGAATATTTGATACCCATACGTTCCTGAACATTTACATCAACAACAAACAACAACAACAACACCAAATACAATACATCAAACAGGAATAATGAGATTCTCAATCTTTCACTTATTTACACTGCTTTCAATAGCACTAGCTGCTACCACTTATACATGTGAGTTTAACTGAGCCTTTTTTGCACCCATTCAAAGCACCGTGTCAGAGTACTAACATGATTTCAATAGCTGTTATTACCACAACAAATATCAATGGTGTTACTGTCACTTTAACAAACACTGTCACTAGTACAGGTACAGCCACCACAAATACAGCCACCACAAATACAGCTACAACCAATACAGCTACAACTAACACTGCTACAACAAATACTGCTACAACTAACACTGCTACAACAAATACTGCTACAACTAACACAGCTACAACAGGTACTGGTACAGCTACTACAGGAACTGCCACTACAGGAACAGGTACAGGAACAGCTACAACAGGTACAACTACTGGAGGTGCCGCTGATGGTGAAGTTGAAGGAACTGATACTGCAACCACAGGTCGTACTACAACAAAATTATCTCAAGGTACAGATACTTCAAGTGTTAACCCAACATTTACATATTCAGATGCTACAACTACTTATATCACTTCATCTGCTTGGACTTCAATTTGGGTCACTGTTACTTATTCAAATGGTGGTGTTGCCACAGTGCAAACAACTTATTCTCAAAGATTCAAGAGTTTTTATTCTTCGGTTGATCAACCATCCTCTGGTACTATTGGATTAGGCTCTATTAGTGGGAGTGTTGGTGTTGTGAAGAGTAAACATTTAGTTACTCAATCAACCAATGCTGGTATCATCAATACAATCTCATCTGGTTTGATCTTTGTTGTTGCTTTATTATTTTTATGATTTCAACAATAGTATCATTATGGGGAGGTAAAAGATAAACTAGTTTTGTTTTTCGTTTATTTTTTTATTTTTTAATTCAATTTAGTTTAACAGGGGAAAAGATTAGTGGACTTTATACAAAAAAATATGCACGCAATGTGATCGTGTGATTTGTTCTTTTTTGGTTTCAATTTTTATATTTATCAGTTTTTTTTCCAAATTATATATTGTACATTAGTTTTAATTTCAGCTTATTTAAAATATAAGTTATGATTTTAGTTTATTTTACAATGATTGTAAAAGTTTTACGAAAATAAGTGTTTTTTTCTTTCATTAACTTGAAAAATAGATCAAAAAAATAATCTCTAAACATACACATAAAAAAGAATCACATCATTGTTGTCTTTTTTTTGAACATCTGTCATCCTCTCCTTTTCTCTTCTTCTTTCATAAAGCTTAAATACTCATTAAAGGTTTTGAATTTTTGTTTTCAGAATCTTTATGACCAACAAATTCTATTTGCTCGGTATCAGGTAATTTCAAAACTTTTCTAAATTTCATACCAATGTTTAATAATTTAGTTTTATCAGTACTTTTAGTCCATAGAGCAACTCTGAAAGCGAATTTTCTGACATTTAAGACTGCACCATTAACTTCATTTTCATCATCTTCAATAGTTTCACCAATGACACTTAATAAAGTTCTTAACCATAATTCATTGATGTTTGTATCTTTTTTGTTTTTAAATTGGAAAGACCATTTACCACCTTCAGCATTTGCTGAATCTTCCCATTCTGGTCTAATACCATTTCTAAATAAATGATAATCAGCTTTTAATGGTAAATCTGAAGCTTGAGGAATAGAATTGAAGATCCCCCAGAATTCTTCGACACTGGAGAAGTTGATAACAGGTTTCAACAAATCAGCCCATGATTCTTTTGGATCACTTGGAGGTTTGGTGTACCATAAAGTCCATTCAGAGTTCAATGGATGTTTAACAGTGAACTCCTTATCAGACAAGATGGTTGTATCAGCGTTGACAGCAGCTGGGGCATCTAAGGACAATCCTTCAGTAGCTTTGTTCAATTCTTCAGACATCGCAATTCAAATAACCAAAGCACAGATGATTTGTGTTTTGTATGGCGTTGTTATTTTGACTTTTCATCTTTTTTTCGTCAACGGATTCAAAAATTTTTACAAAAACAAAAAAAAAGAAGTGGTGTTGGGATGTCGCGAAAAGCGTATAACGAAGAGATTTTGAATATGCCATAGAATCCATACAAATTTAACACCATCACAGGCCAATTTCAAACAGAGAAAGAGAATGTCCAGCCTGCTCAAGATGTTTCTGGCCACGACTGCTTCCGTAACGACGGCCTCTCTGCTGCTGCTGTACAAGTACCAGCTCAAACTGATCTATCCCTCAGGCTTAAACGATGCAAGAGCCCCTGGTGCCTTCCATTCAACTCCACAGGAATACGAAATACCCTATGAGGATCTATATCTAGAGACCGAGGACGGTGTCAAGCTACATGCCTTTCTGTGCTTACAGGACCCTAAAAGCCCTGATTATCAAAACAAAACAGTGTTGATACTGAATCCAAATGCTGGTAATATTGGATTAGCTGTGCCAACGGTTTATAATTTTTATCAATTGGGGTTTAATGTCTTTATTTATGACTATAGAGGCTACGGTTTGTCGACTGGCGAATCTACCGAGATTGGGTTGAAGAAAGATACTGAAACTGTGATGGAGTATATCAATGAACATGATCAATTGAATAAAAGTTCAGTTATACTATATGGAAGATCTTTAGGTGGTGCTGTGGCTATTCATATCGCTTCAAAGAACTATAAACTAGTTAAAGGTGTCATATTGGAGAATACTTTTCTAAGTTTGAGGAAAAACATTCCTCATGTTTTCCCCTTTTTGAAATATGTTGCAATATTGTGTCATCAATTGTGGGATTCTGAAACTGCCATTTCGAAAATTGATCCCAATGTTAAAATGTTGTTTCTTGGTGCTGAATTAGATGAGATTGTATCCCCTGATCATATGAAGAAACTTTATGAATTGGCTAATGTTGGTGATCGTTACGAAAAATTTGTACTTTTCCAAGGATTTCATCATAATGATACTACATTGGCTCCAGGTTATTGGGATATCATTAGTGATTTCATTGATTTAATAGATTCTAAAGAGAATTAAAACAAACATCCTGCAGGACATACATCCATTTGTTCATCAATTATCCATGTTTTGAAACATCCAAAATGTCCACTGTGTCCACATTTCAATCTAAAAATTGTTAATCCTTTTATAGGTTCATTGCAATAAGTACATAGATTTTTATCATGACAATTTTCACAAAACCATGTACCAAATTCAATTTTTGGATCTTTAAGAACAGCTTCTTTCAAGTTTTCATTAACTATCAATACTCCACATTTTGAACAAAACCTTCTGAGAATTGTAGAATTTAATGACATTTCTTTAAATTCATTATATTTAGAAATTGAGATAATCTTGGTAAAAGTTATGAAAAATTGTAATTTTTTCAAAAATTCTAAATATGAATGAATCATATCTTTAACAATCTTATCACCATATAATTTATAACGATCATTAAACAACAATAATAAAGTACAACTCATTATTAAATCTCCTTGTTGTAAACTAAAATCAATAGCTTTCTTTATGAGAAACTTTGGTGCATAAGGTGGTAAAATTAACTTATTATCAGCTTCTTTTTCTTGTTTTTGATTTGTTAATTGTCTTGTTAGTTCTGATTTATGACTATCTTGCTTTGTCAACTTGTTAAAATTGGATTTATGTAATAATGGTGCCAACGATTGTGTGAGTGGTCTCAAAGAATTTGATGCATTTGAAAAAGATGATGTAATTGAATATGATGGTGATGATGACTTCCCAATCTTGTTTGATTCATCAGAATTGGGTGGTAAAATAGCCTCCAGAATTGAACTTCTAGGTTTACGCTTCCCTGGTAAAGATATCGGCTTTGACGTTGCCTTGGATTCCACAAATTCAATAGCTTCCTCCTCGTCTCCTTGTTGTTCCTCTTCATCATCTTCTTCCTTTGTCACTGTATCATCTTTTTCTGTAACTTGTTTCACTGGTAAATCGTCCCATTTCAAAATATCCTCTTTTGTAACTGTTTTATTTTTATCAACATCCTCTTGATCATCAGACACTTCTTCACCCTTTTCTTGAATCTCATCAAAACTTTTACGAGCTTTGGTGATTTTCAAATCTTCCTTCGACCTTAATGACATCTCTTTAGAATTCAATGAATTAAACTCACTTAAATCACTCAAGGCCGGTGATTTACCATAGTTTGTTGTAGAGTTTGAAGTACTATAATGGTAATCTTTTTCATTATCAGTTTCATAGTCATGGCCAGCAGTGGTATTGATTTCAGCCTCCGTCGTACCATCAAGTTCATATTTCAATTCATTCTCTAATTGTGTTTCCCATATAAGTGATTCCTTAATAACTTTCCAAGTTTGTGAATCTCTAAGACAATCAACATCATTAGCCACGCTTGCATTTATTTCACAACTCATTATCAAATCATGTGATGGATCAAACATATAATTATCAGATAAATATTTCAATGATGCATTACTTTTGGAAATGGGCAATGAAATTGGAACAACAAATGGATTTGAATAATTTGAAACATTGTTATGATGGCTCCCATGGGATAATGCACGATTAACGCTAGGTCTCAGTGCTGTACTTGAACTTCTTGACATACCTGGTCTTGGTGATAAATCTGGGAATGAGGAGACTGATGGTGTATTAACAGCTGTTGTTCCAGCAGAATTTCCTGGCGAGTTATTTGGGGACGTGGACATCATTGAAGAAATAGGATTGAACCCACTATATTGATTATTTGACTCTAATATTGGTTCTAATTCTTTAGGTTCTCTCTCTTGATTAATGAAAACCAAGTCATCATTAACTGACCATGACGTTGCATTTATAGGTAAGTTGTCTATTGGGTGGTAATATGCATTCAAATCATCTCTGACTAAAGATTTATCCTTAGAACAAGTTAACAATGTCCTTTCATCTTTGAAAACAAGTCCACTTATCTGAGCGTGATGGCTCTCAATAGTGTATTCTGGGATGTACTTTCTTTTAAGGGAGTAAATTTGCACACTCAAATCATTTGTTAAGAAAGTTGTAGCAACTTCAGCATTCATAATGTTGGAAACACCATTTGAATTTGGTCTAAAACAAACATTATTCACAGGAGCAGATGTATAGATCACATGTTCTGGTAATTGTCTTGCATCATTATTATTCATATTCCATACTTGAACTTGTTTATCTCTTCCACCACTAACAATATAATCCAATTCAGGATGCCAATCTATCGAGAGACCAGGTCCCGTATGTGCATTAAACTTTCTTTCAAATTGAGTCGGTACCCTAAGATCCCATTTTTGTATGACACCTGAATCGAAAATTGCACACATTTTCTTATTATGGAAAGGTGAGAATTTCAGTGATCTAACAGCATCTGAATTACCAATCATCGTGAATACGGGTTTTGTTAAATTTGATCTTAAATCCCATAATTTCATAGCACCGTCTTGAGAACCCGATAATAAAGAGTGTGAATCCAATTGACTGAATGATATAGAATTGACCGCTCTGGTGTGGTCACTATATTTGAGTACTAGCTTGTTTTTAGACTGCGAGGTGTTGTTGAAGATGAAGATGGATCCAGTTGTTGTTGAAGTTGCGATAAATTTACTATGATTATGGTAACCAGCCTCCACATCCAATATAGAACCTATAACTTTCTTATTCTTCAAGTAATATGAGCTTGACAGAAGGTCATTGACTGGCGTTATTGTGGAGTTTTCAATCTTGAGTATTTGTAACAGATTCTTCCCAGCTATCACCACAGAATCAGATGAATCATTATTTATTTTGCTTAAACTTGTCAATTCTTGAGTTGTCTTGAACCGCGTTTGATTGATATCCTCATAGTTGGAAGTTGATTCATTGTAAGGAGTGAATACCGGTGGTGATTGTCTTGATGGTGTGTATGGTGTGGGTACTCGACTTGGTGATATTGATGATGTCGTTGTTGAGCCAGAGTTCCCATAGAAATTGACTAGTCTAGCCAGCGTGTTTGAATGCCTTGACGAGGAACCAAATTGACTGCCCTCACTGGTACCATATCTATTATCATACGAAGACATGATAAGCGGGTTCTTGGATCCATATACAGAGGCCAGATGATGGGTATTAAATTGTTTATCAGAGAAATACCGATTTTTTAACTATGTTACATAATCAATATAGCGAAATTCACCTTCTATTACTCTTCTTTTTCTATATAAGCACCACGTCTCCAGAGTAAACGTATTTCTGCACTGCAGAGTATCTGATCAAGTAGATATTCCCTACTGTTAATTCAATTTCTTCTTCTCCAATGACAATACCCTCAGGAATGTCTCGCATAACCTTGACAAATGCTGGTCTCTTCAAATTTGGTTCCTCAATCATGGAAATACCACCACTGGTGTCGTCTAATGCTTGTAAATGCTGTGGTAAAGATGACAAAAATAATGAATTGTAAAGTTGGAGTAATGCTTCAAAGTGTTTCTCCATGTATGCTGTTTCTTGTTCCGATAATCTCGAAACCATTTCTTCGTCATTTCTGATGAAGATGGTATACTTGTCAATCTGGAATTAATGTTAATATTTACACTCAAATCACTGGAATTTCCAAAACTTACTTTTGATAACCTTGTCCGTAGATATGATCTCAATATAAAGTTCACACGATCTAGTTCAGACTCTATAATCATCAACTGCAGCTTGATATCCTTCTCTTGGGTCTGCAACTCTATGGAATTCAGCTCAATAAACTCCACTTGTTCTCTTATCCTCGAAAGCATTCTCTCAATCAATGCATCTTTGTACTCCAGGAGTTCTGGAGCCATACGTTCAGATATCCAAGACTGTGTGAGTTCCTGAAGGTCATCTTCTTTCAATTTTGTTTGACTAGCCTCATTTGGACGGGAGTCTCTCTCGAAGTCTCTCAAGATGTCAT